ATTCAGTAACTTTAGAGTTTCGAAAATAAATATATCAGCAGCCATTTGACAGCTTAACACAAATAGAATTACATCATGTATAACAAATAAAATACATTACTAAATAACCATACCGACGCGTTAATGAATTTTAACTCAGTAAATAAAGAAATAAATTATTTCATTAAATAAATTATTCCATTGAATAAAAATAGTAAGAAAGAAAACGTACACTGCAACTGGCTCGCATTTTTCAGAAAGAATGACTGGTTCTGACGACCTCTTGATAACACAAAATTTCCCAACTACCGGATCAAAATTATCAGAAACACCATCCGATGTTATGAATATCACATCATCTAAAAAAATCTTTCTTATACCTTCTACGAATCTCAGATAAGAGTAACATGTTTGGCCATAATCTTCACTTTTTCTTTCGAATTCCTCACCTATGTATTTTTTTGATTTTCTTCTCAAAAGTTCAAGCTTACCTGGTTCTACGAATGTCATCGAACATGTAAGATTGTGCAACTGAGGATTCGTGCCGTCAACAGGTCCCAATGCACCACCTGCATCACGCATATCGCGCATGCTGCATATGTCGTGTGAAGCAATTGTAATCTTTAAATGAACAAATCAAATCGGGCTGTTTTAATCTCTATCAAGTATGAGCTTTAAATTTTCCAAGGCTATTTTAATCTCTATCAAGTATGAGCTTTAAATTTTCCAAATTTTCGGAAATAAAGACAGTCATATTGCAAATCAGCTATTACATTTGAATTCTTTCAACGTACCTCCTGAACACCAGTTTCCGGACTGTATACAAAACACAGTGAATCACCGACATTACAAACACAAAGCACCCATGTGTTACTTTCTTTCAGTTGTACTGCAACAGCCACACAAAGTGTTGTTAGAAGACCACCTTCTTGTAAAATCAATGCATGAGCGGAATGAAATGCACCAAGTAATCTATGAAATACCTCCTGAAAATATTTTAAAAAGCTTAGAAGTCAAATCAAAATCTAAACATTTTAAAAGTGTGGAAAGACAAATGAGCAGAATTATACATTAGAATGGTTAACCCAAAACTATTAAATGCAGGGAGTGTCGACGATAAAATCTGTTGCCAAATATAAGACATAAATTTACATGCTACATAAAATAAAATTTATGGATAACAGATGGGATAAAATGATGTCTCCATGGCCGTCGACTACAAGTCGTTACAAAGTAAAAGAGTGACATTTCATTTATAATTCTAGAAATCCTTCCCAGTTACAAAAATTGAGGACAAGATATTGATCAGTCAAGGTTTAGAATAACTTGAAGTTGATAACAGTCCCAATAATAAGTACCACCTATAAGCCACTGCAATATATGTTTCAACAATTTTCCCGATGTCGATAATAAGGACCACCAGTAGAGAAATATGTTGAACGTAATCACAGTCGACAGATGTTACTTTCTTGCAATTTTCATTGTATAGCAACAATACTCTCGATATAAATTTTGTTTGACCAGCTAGTCAAACGAGGCATAGTCTTCCAAACACAACTTATAGTACTAGCAAATTTGTTAACTATTTATTCGTCAATACTCTTTTTTCATCGATAAAAATTAAAAGTGAAAGTAAAACGTCTGGAATTTAACATTCCAGTGATTTCATCTTCTCTAGCCTTTTTTTGAAATCTAACTGCAATAATTAAGTTTTTTTGGAAAAAAAATCAGTGACTAACAGTGGTTGTTCTACATTCCTCCGCGAAGAGATGATAATTGAGGTGGTCAATAGCTCCTCGTATAGCACATCGTGCAGCTAGGCGAGCTCCTTCGCCCCAGTTAACACCATCCGCCAATGCCATTACAACATTATTATCCCGAGCCACAATACCAAAAGCATCTGCTATTGGATTGCCAGCATTCACGCCTGTCAACGGATTTTGCTCATAAAGTGTTGTTGATAATCCGAAGCAGCGTTCTTCATCGAAACAATTCCAGTTATAACTTTCTAAAAGAAATGAGTTACAATTGCAAATGATATGGTGAGAAGATTAAGAAGTAGCTTAGGTTGATATTACGAAGAATCACGAGGATGGGATAATACAAATTATCAAAATGAAAGAACAAATTAAGTATGACATAAATTTTAAGAAAATTTCTAGAAAATTTAGCAACAATATTTTAGCTTCAAAAAATAAAAAACACTTGTACCAGTATCTGATCGCAATGCTGCATCTCCCATATTGAGTGAATCAATCAGTGATGTACATGAACCTATCAAACCGGATGACGATTGTCGCAAATGATTGTGCTGCACAGTTTCAAATTCATCATTTAAAGAACGCTCTATATCAACCGACAAATCACCATCAAAACTTAAGCAAAGTTCATCATCTAAATTTGCCATTCGGACAATCGGTTGACGACGTATGCCACCCACCTGGAAAGACGTAAGAAATGTAACCTGAATTTATGGATTAAACTTTTATTTTGAATAGAAATAAGTGCGCTGATTTATCAACGTACCTCCATAAGTCCACCTTCCGGACCAGTATAGGAAGCACAAACGTTCCTAGATAAAGGTTCTAAAAGCAGAATCGGCAAATCAAGACCCGTTTTCCCAGAATAAATTTCCGTTCCATATTTTGCACCATTTTTCCTGCTAAAAGGAATCAGTGGAACAGAGAAACTGATTGTAAAAAATACTGCTAAAATTAAACAAATCTTCTGTGAGCAATTTCGTATGAATTCTAGATAAATCTCGCAAATCACTTTTACATTTTAAGGTACAAATTAAGTAAATAATAATAAGGAACTTTTAATAACAATACACACTTTTCGACAATGAATTATATTATGGCAATGTAATATGAAGTAGCGTTTAAAATATTTGTATTATGTAAAAAATAATTTGCAAAGCCAAAATTTTTTAAAAATTTAGTAAACTAAAGTAGTCAAATAAACAGAGTGAATGCTACATTTAGACTTGGACCTATTCATTTCAAATGAAAAAGATATGATGGGACTTTATAATTCAAAAATGGATAGATGTTTTTCAATTTCTCGAAAACTTCCCAGCTCTATCATTCAATGATTGAATAAAACAAAAAAAAAAAGGATGAAAATATTCTGATGCTAGTACTTCAATTCAAAAACAAGCCATATTTCCTAAAAATCAAAATTTGATTTCAAACTGGATAAAAATTCGCATACCTTTTAAAAATGCATTGTGAAATGAAGGAATTACTGGATGTTGGCGTTGACGGTGAGCAACCATCAAGAAAACACGAATTAGTAGTAGTTGTTGTAGTTGTGGTGGTAGTACCATTATTTGCAAAATGTTTACCATTTTTATTACCAATTAAATCATCATCATCATCATCATCATCATCATTGTCATTATCATTATCGTTACCACTATCAGGAGTTAACGATGAAAACGTGGTACGTATTAGGCCGCATACTTTTTTCCGAATTGATGATGATGGCATTCTGAAATAGCATCAAATAATATTATTTCGTATTAATCAATACTTATATAAGGAAAATATCAATTATATTCTTTGAATATAAACAATGAAAAGCAGCAACTTAAAGGTAAATAGTAATCAATTACGTTTAGCTAATCGCATGTGGATTAAGTGAAGAAATACCTCTAACTATTAATTAAGAAAGCAGTTGCATATGTATGAATTTATTTCAAAATTTATGAATACTAATGAAAATTTATGAAAATATTTATAAACTGAATACTAAATAAATAAGACTAAATAATTAAGCAAATTAACGTAGGAAATATATTAACGCGCAATTTTTCAAAGTTTAAATTCAAATTTGTCAAGGAAGATGATGCTTGTTTGTTATTCGTTTTTTTTTGTTCTTCTCAATGCTTATTTGCTCCTTAAATATGCCCATAACTTACCTAATTAATTATTTAAATATAGCGGCAAATCTGAATTTAAATTTACGACATGCATTAAAATCCTGCTCAACAATCCAGATATATTAATTGATATGCATCACCATGAAACAGAACAGGTTAAAGCCAGTTACTAAAAAATTCAAATTTCGAATTTATCAAGTCGTCCTATTATATGGTGCAATGGGATTTCTGGCGGGCTTTCAAATACGGTTAATTTGAATATTAGTAACAGTTAACCTTTGATCTTTGAAGGAAGGATAAATCAGAAGCTCTAGTCTAAGATTTAAAAGTATACACAGAATGGAATTTCTAAAATACATCTTAGTCAACGTTTCACATTATCATGAATGCTAAATAAGTATCAAACAAATGAAGAAATTCAAATCGTAAAAAGAAAAAAAATATATAATATTATTACTTCTAGTAATTTTGTTTTTTTTTCAAACTATAGAGGAAATCCTCTGACTTATTGTCTTCCACTAGAGATTAAAAGTCACTATTATCACTATTTGGTCACTTTTATCACTATTTAAAGGTCACTATTATCACTATTTGAATTTGAAAGATTAAGCAAATTTATCATTATTATATGGGATATTTAATAGTAATAAAGTTATATTTCTTAATTCAATGATAAAATTATCACTATCTGATATGAATAAAAGA